ACCTGTGCTATAAATATTAGGTACGTACATTACAAAAATAAGCATAAAATAAGCAATAAAATATGATCAAAAAAAAAGAACGATAATTAATAAAAAAAAAAAAAACAAATAATAAGAAAGCAAAAAGAGACGATGCAAGTAGAAAATTAGGCGGCGTATAACTTTAAAGATGTCGCCCGCTAGTATTTGTACTTTCGTGTGATGGTATTTAATTAGTGATTCATTTTTTTCCACAGTTAACTAATAAAAGTTCAAGTATAATTTTTCACTTGCGGCATAGAAAAGATTTTCTCTGATAAAATTTGGGTTTATATAAAAAAATATAAAAGTTGAGAAATACGATTGTTTAAAATAATTTAGGGACCCATATTACATTGATTACTACGATATCATATTCACAAAACTTAAAAGTTTTCATAATCATAAATTCCACATACAATAAAATCAGTCCAGATCCAAATCCCAAAATTCTCCAGTGAATGTAAATATTAGATAATCTAGCAATAAGGATGCGAAAGGTTGATTCCGAAAATCGAGTCTAAATCGCAGACTGCCTATTTAAAACTCAAATTGACAAACGTTTTAGTTGGGATTTATTGGTATAGAATACCATCACAATATATGTTTATGTTTGTCACATTATATATTATTTATTTAATTTTCCACCCTCCTCTTGTATAAATTTTAAAAAAAATAACGTTAAGCAAAAGTTTAAGTAACCTTATAGATATTTAAAATACATACTAAACTGTGTAAGATTAGTTAGTAATCAAAAGAAATTATAAAAATAAATGCGCGAGTCTTGTAAGTTCTGCGCTTTTTTAACTAGTACATGTATGTGACACTCCCAAAATCAAACCTATATATAAACTTAACTAATATAGGCACGTACGTACGTATAAAGACAATGATGAAATATGCAAAAAAATCTGAGCATTCCAAATAAACCCAATACAATCGACTCTGAATATAATAACCTTTTTACTATATAACGAACCAATAAAGTTTGACATAGAAACATAGAAATTACACCATAAGTAGATTTTACTATAAAAACCATTAGTTCGTTATAGAGTTGAGATCCGTTAATTATATCAGAAAATGATCTTATTAAGGTTTAAGGTTAGGCACTACGCCAATTTTATCCCATTTAAGACAATCTCGATCAGTTTCATTCAATTCTCTGATCGTACCATCTGTACCAACTCTCATTGCAATAAATGAGGGTGAAACAGAAATAGAAGGGGATACTACATCCTCCTTAATAAGATCAATCGTAGAAGTATTATTGTCTTCAATAGAAGTAACACGTTTAATAAACTCACTACAACGTTCGATTGCTATTTGTGAAGGTTTAAAAAAAGTAAACATCTGTATAATTTGATCATATGTAAAAATTAATAATAAATTTTTAAAAGCATTTACGACAAAAAAAAAACATTTAAATATACTTACATACCAGATATGAGGCATATCATCATAGACTTCAAGTATAACTTTAGTAGGTTTCTTAAAAGGGGACTTTTCAAAATTTTTAGTTGCATATGAAGGCAATTGATATTCATGAGGACTCGCAGCTTTATGAGAAATTAGAACAGCTTCGTCACGAAACCTTTCATCACCAACTTGCTATAATTCATTTACATATAAATTAATTATATTATTAAAGTTTATAAACTAATAAATTAATTATATTATTAAAGTTTATAAACTAATAAAATAATATTAACAAAGAAGTAACTTACACATAGAATAGGTGGTAAATTCCCTAAAGATTCAGCAAGCATGGGACTAGAAATCAAAATTTTACAAAAACTAAGATCCAATTATGAAGAATTATTATTAATTTTTTTAAGTGAGATAGGAACACTTACCTAATGTAAGGAATTGCCAATGCTTCATTAGCACAATAAAGTTGAAAGCGAGGTACTTCAGTAAAAGAAGGATGACTAACAATCTTAGGGTTTTTTAGAGTGATTTTGTCAGCTAGAGCTTTTGCATTGACATGATATTCGTCCATGGCAGGCGATGAAGGAATATTTGCAGAATAGTCTAGTACTGCAGGTATAATATCTACATTATCTAATTCGGAATCCCATTTGGATGGCATACTTTGAGTTAAATCAACCTGTTTTGAAAGAAACTAAGTCAGTTTTTTTCATTAATTTACTGTAAATTTAAAATTGAATTTCAAACATACGTACCCATGGTGACTTTGAGTATCATTTAAACAAATAAATGGTTGTTGTAAATACGAATTATAGGACAAAATAAAAGTCACTTATTTACATATTCATTTATTTATTTTTTAATGCTCACCAATGGAATTGCGCCCGCTGGTAATGGTAATCCAGCATCCCTTAAAGATAAGAGCGTAGAAAAAACCAAATTGCCACCCGCACTTTCACCAGCCAATACAATTCTTTTAGGGTTGATCGGTTCAAATCCAGCATTTGGACCAGGATTTATGAGGTATAAATACGCAGCGATAGAATCACAAAGAGCAGCAGGAAATGGGTTTTGTGGCGTAAGACGATAATTAATTGCTGAACAAATGATTTTTTTATCATAAGAAATTGTCGTAAAAAATTGGCATAAGAATTATCGTAAGAAATTGTCGTAGGATATTAAAAAGTAGTTGATCAGAAAAGCTTACCAAAAACTCGAGAATTAGCAAGCTCAACAAATTTCTGTGTAAGTGGACTAACAGATTTAGATGATCCGACACAAAATCCACCACCATGCAAATATAAAACTACATTATCAGTTTCACTAAATTTCTCATTAATATACATCCATTCTCCGTGTAATCTATCATTTGGAACTTTCCATCTATCATCTAACACATCATCATAGTGTTTCAAAATCTTTTCTAAATGCGTTTTACTTTTTTGTCTATATTCCTCATCTAATATAACGTCTTTTAAAATTATATTAGGAGGGGGTTTACCCATAAAACTTTCGTTGAATTCCTTCTGAGACTGTTCAATAGGTGTTTTTGAAAAACGAATATTGGCATTAATCATTGCTATTGTTAAATGAAACCTTAGATCCCATGATTTTTTAGGTGGGCCTTCAGTAAAATGTTTGAACACAGTTGAAGATATGGTTGGAATAGATTCAAGAAACGAAAAGAAAGACATTTTTGTTTAAAAGAAAGATTTAACGTTAATAAGATTTATGCCTATTTATTAAAAATATTTTAGTAGTGTATGGTAATACAGATTCGGACAAATACCCGAAAATTATACCTTGGAATGGTCGCTGCAGGATACAAATTATTTATTAACTTCTAAATTTGTAAGGTCCCCTATATATTTTATATACATTAACTATTCTAGTTAAATTGGAATATTAGTCTAACTTTTACAACCGAATTTTTTACCAGATAGTCCAATTTATGACTGGAATTTACCAGAACTTTTCTGACTATTTCCGATCGGAGTTGCACCGAATTCATCTTGAGGCATCCCTTTTGGAAGTCTGTGGCTGATCTTTAATCGTGATATTGATCTGCTTTGTCTCTAGTATAACTCGATCCGGTGATCTTTGATTGGGAACCTGGGAGTGCAACCATTTCACTATTGATCCACGGGTCCCAAACATTATACTAAATTTAGAGTGTTCTCAATCACATATCTCAATGAAGACAGATCAATTAGATTATTATTGAGTTCATTGAGGGAGGTACTTGATATCTCCATTAGCCGTACGTACGTTACATTTAATAGCAAAGTTGATAAGACTACTAGTATTGTTCTTTTTCATGTTAGGGTAAAAATAAATTATAGAGAAGAATTTTTCTTTTATAAACCATACGTAATATCTATCTGATTGTTTTATTCTCAGTTATATACTCATTTATTGCCCGGACGTAGCGAAGAACACTTAGTGTATAGAGGTCATATTTGAAAATAGTAACAGTAGTTAAATTTTACAAAATTAAGAAATTTACGATTAAATTTAAGAATTTAGGCTTATGAGCTAAATATAACCTCAACTACTGTACGATGTAGTATTGTTTAGAGTTC